GTGTGTGTGAGAGAAAGAGAGGGGTTTCTTTTGTTTCTTCCTTCTTATCGTCGCGCTTCGGTCGCGCTCCCGGAGACTTTGCGACTCTTTCGCAAGCTGGTAACAGTAACTTTCGAATTAGTTGAATGTAACACACACTCTCTCTCTCTTTCTCTCTCTCTCTCTCTCTCTCTCTCGCATACGCAAACGCGCCATCTGATCACCTCTTCGCGCTTTATATCCATTGTGCAGTTCCATTTGTCCCAAACGACAACCCTCCGCGGATTCGATAAATCTCGCTGCGCCTCCCTCCCTTTCCCGACCACCTCGCCAACCCTCGACTCCCTAACAACGCTCTCTCTCTCTCTCTCTCTCTCTCTCTTTCTCTCTCTCTCTCTCTCTCTCTCTCTCTCTCTCTCTCTCTCTCTCTTTTTCTCTTTCTCTCGCTGAATCTCGCAGCCGTGACCAGGGCAACGTGTAGAGGCAGGAAATTGGAAATGCAAACGTTGCGAGGAGCCGACGACGCGAGCCGGGAAATTGATGTTTCTCGAGTCTCGCTCCCCTCCCCCCCCTCCCGCTGCTTTCCTCCCCCGTGCGCAACCGGCCGCCGCAACTTTGCTCGATTCGCGAAGTACCGTCGATCCATCGCGGTCGGTTGTGCGCAACCGGAAGTAAAATTCTCCTAGGTACTTCGCTCTCTCCCCTCTGCCCCCTCTCTCTCCCTCTCGCACTCTCTGTATGTCTCTCGTCAGTTCCGTCCCGCTGCGGAACGGCTTCGTTATCGGAACGGCGAATTTGATTAAGGACGTCGACATTCTGCAACATTCTCCATCGCAGCCAAAGAGAGCCTCTCTCCCCCTCTCTCTCTCTCTCTCTCTCTCTCGTTTCTTTTGCGCTGACATTATCCTCCCTCTTCGTGCATCCTCTCGCATATTCCTCCCGTCTCTGCTCCTTTATATCGAGGTCCTCCTCTCTTCCCCTCCTCCTCTCTCTCTCTCTTCCGCGCGCGCAGCGCGGGACGCTGTTTTATATCCGACGGTATTTAACGAGCGCAATTCGACGGCTGTCGTCGGCTGAACGTAGCGATAAAATTTATTCGACATTTCGGCAACTATATCGGAGGGGGGGGGAGAGGGAGAGAGAGAGAGAGAGAGAGAGAGAGAGAGAGAGAGCACAAAGGGCGCACGGGACGTGCAAATCGCGAAAATGCGCGTCACGTTAGTAATACTAGTCGGCGTATCGAAAATTCGTTCGCCGATTTCGTCTGCTTTATTAAATCCCCCGCTCCTCCCTCAATCCCCTTTTTCTTCCCGCGCGGCGGCGGCGGCGGCGGCGGCGGCGGCGGCGGCCGGCCGACCGACCGCGTTGGCGCGGCACGAAATTCGTCGTGCTCCGCCGCGAATTAAAATGAAATAATAATTTGCACTCGAATGTGGTTTTAATTCACGCTACGCGCGCTCGCGCGCTAATATGGAACTTTAATTCACATCGCGCCGAATTAAATGGAATTTTCACGCTATGAAGGCTTTAATTGCTGGCTTTCCGTTATGAATTTCCCGTCGTGCCCAAAGCGAGCGTTCTTCTTCGTGTTTCCCCGTCCCCCGGGGGAGAGGCATGGACAGAGAGGGCGAGAGCGAGGGAAACTCGCCGAGAGACTATAGCGAGGATCAGCGAGGGGGAAGGAGAGAGAGAGAGAGAGAGGGGGGAGGGCGAGAGATACAGTCGCTTTAACCGCGAGTTACGGCGAGCTTTGACGCTAATGACCGTCTAAGTAGATTTAAACGTAGCCCGGCGCGTTACATGCGGCCGCCACCACGTCGCGCACATCGCGAACATGTTTTTTGCGAGCGTCGTAGCAGCTCGGCGCGGCCGGCGTGGCGAAGAAACGACCCGGTGTGTAGCGCGAGAGACAAATGCGCGGCGACCGGGCGATCGCGCAAGAAACGCGCACGCCGAGCAATCATTTATCGCGCGGATACGCGCGACTCTCAGCGAACGCTTCGCGTCGCCGAACAAGCGGCATTGTTGTCGCGAGCAGCGGCGAGCGGATCGACAGGCGTGTCGCGCGATGCTTGTCGCCAGCGAGAGGAGCTACAAAGGGCGCGAGGAGGAAGCGGCCGCTATTAAGGGGTCGTTATTAAGGGGGGAATTGCTACATGCAGAGAGCTGCTTTCGAGGCCACTTTTACAGGAATTTTTTTTCTAACAGAAACGGTAAGATCAATGGACTTGAAATGTTCACACAGTGTATTAATCAATGTGTTCAAAGTATAAAATATAAGCTTTCATGGAGTCACAAGAAGCGATCCAACTTGTAATTATAGACACAAATGCAGTCGTAGCAGTTTGCGAGCTCTATAATTGCTGTCGACATATAATTCCGGGCTTCTCGCTACTCTGAGACTGAAAACAATTAGAGAGATTTTTAGAATATATACGGTTGCCATTATAGTCCGTACCAAAGTGAAGGCAGTGAAATCAAGTTTGGAAAAGTAATGGCTGTACAGAGAAAAAGCATCGAAGATGAAACTTTTTTCAACTTGTGATCGTGTTTAAAAAAAAATTGAATAAAATAAAATATAACTGTGTTCGAGGGAGGGGCGAAAACTACATGTCTACTGTATACGTTGTGTGAAAAATTTCAAGTTATTCGGTTCAGCGCGTTTTTGCGCAATCGTGTCGACAATTTAAGAAAATGGTGTTTCCAGATAAACGTGTTTAAAGTTTTGTGTGTACTTTCCATACAGATAGTAACAACTTTATTTTATACTTTGAACATTAATGAATACACTGTGAAAATTTCAAGTTCAATCCTACCGTTTCTATCGAAAAAAAATTCGTAAAAACAGCCTTGAAAACGGCCTGCTCCGTATGTAATTCCCCCCCCCCCCCTCCTTAAGCCTATTTACCGCAGCCGGTGCCGTTCGATGGCGGGCGGGGGTTTCGGGGTGGTTTTCTCCACGGAAATCAGGCTGATCAATCCAGTTTCAGCGCGACAGACGGCGCTTGCGAATATCCAAGTGCGTGAAGTACCGAGAATAACGGAAAGCAATATGGCGGTTACTCTCTCGGTGAGATAACGAAGAAACGGAAATTTTCGTAGAATTATTTCGTTACGCACTCGCTATTTTTTATTATTGTTACACTGTTGTTACTAAATTACTGCTACTTTTCTCTGTCACGAAACCGAGGCCCAATATGTCTGAAGCTTCGAAGCTTTTTCAATAATCCGGCTTTGGAAGCTTCGAGCAGATTCTGGTTTCGTTCTGGAATTCGTTTCGCCGGGGAGTGCGACGCGAGATATCGCGCAATTATCGCGAATGTTCGAATATAATGCCTCATCGAGCTTTTAGAAACACAATTTCATTCAAATATAAATTATCAGATATAACCTTTATTCGATTCGAATGCCGATGAAGTTAGTAATTTTATGCACGCGCCCTCATAATTACTGTGGATTTTATTTTTCTTCCCATTTTATAACATCTATCTTTGATTACACACTCTGTTCCCTCTATTTGTTATTGCTACATTTACGTTCCTTGTTTGCTCTTACTTTTGTGCTCTCTGTAATGTCGAGAATAATTTCCGTCTGTTGTGTCTGCGTTTACACTTTAGTTTATCACGCACGCTAAAGAGCTCTCTCGTTGATAAAGATTATTATTATTATTGTTATATCATCGTCATCGTGATTATTATTATTATTATCGGTACATTTATCATTTATATCTCCACCATTTATTTGTCGCTCCCCGCGGGAAAAATACTTTCACCTTTCCTCGTGCCGCGGTCGCCGCTTTCGTCGCGTCGGAAAACACGTGACGCGCTGCGCCCGCTACACCTCTGATTCGCCGATCATACATTTTTGTTTATCAACGCGAGTGCATCGCATCGTTGAACAAACAAACAGGAGGACGACGCGACGCCGAGAGTCGTCGGCGCGGCGTCCCCGCGTGCGTTCTCGCCGATAATAAATCCTCGCTCGCGCGCTTTTATTATACACGACAAAGCGAGAATCCGTTTGATCTTCGCGGAGCGCGCTTCCAGCGTCTTCAGCAGACGGAGAAAGACGAAGAAAGAGAAAGGTCTACGCGCGTAAAAAAAGGAGAGATAACGCGCTACGATAACGCGCCTCTTGCGCTCGCGATCGTCGACGGAGCAGCCGCGAGGGGCGCGAAACGAGGGGGAGCAGCGGGGCCGGGGAGGCCTTGGCGAAAGCCGAGGTCGACCTTAGCTGTAGCCTCGTTGAAAAAAGTGAGTGAGAGAGAGAGAGAGAGAGCTGCGAACGATAAGCTGACAAAATACAACAAACTTTCTGGGAGAAACTCGCGCAGCGCGCGAGGAACTCGAAGTCGCTCTCGAGACGATTCGCGATAACGTCACGCCGCGAAAGACCTCCATTGATACTCGTTATCTCCTCCGCCGTGTATTTGCAGATTTCCGAATCGATTGCCCTCCCCCGCCCGCTCCCTCCCACGCTCCCTTGTCTGCGGGCTGACGTGCGAACGTGCGCGTGCTCGTGGCTTCTGGCTGAGCGGCGGTGTTTTTCGCAAAATGTGTGTAAAATAAAAACAGCGTCACGCGCGGTCGCGTCCGACTGGAAACGACGTGGGATTTAAAATACTCGGGGTCTCTCAGGCGGTAGCCAGCGGCATCTTGAGCGAGTCTGGGGGATGAAGGAATCCGCGAGAAAGTGTCTCAGACGAGCGGGCTTGTAGGGCTTCATGAGAAAGGTACGTTGATGCTGGTCGCTCGACCTTCGGTCACCTCGCTGAGCTCGCACGAAGGTGACCTTTGGTTTTTCGGTTCTTACGAGTTGGTTCAGCATAAATCGATTATGCGAAATGTCCCGTCAACACACACACACACACACACACACACGCACACACTGTCCTCGCTTCTTGATTAACCTCATCTTCATATCTTTGATACGCAGAACGACGGGAAGAATTGATCGGTGACGTTAATCCTCGCGCGGGCGATAAATCTACGAGAGCTATTTTTATGTTTCCTTCTTCGACGGTCGCTCGGCGAAAGATGTCGCGAGAAACGTCGAAACCGAGGCGTCTCCCGAGCTGCCAACAGCCGACCGGCGCGGCGAGCGCACAAAAGCCGGCCCGCTCTGGGGAGTCCCGAGGAACGTCGCTGCGGACTAAATTTAGAAGTTCACTTTCTCGCGGTCTGGTCGCGCAGTCGCGCACCCGTAATTCCCCGCGATCGAACTCCGCGGGAAAAGAATCGGCAAGTCGAGGTATTCCCAAGTACGGCAACCGCGCTGGAGATGAGCGAGGAAGTGCCTCGACTACCTCGTCTCGAGAGGTTTGCATTATTATCCTGCCGCGCAGGAAATTATTATTCGCTGCCGGCGTCCTTGCGCGGCCGAAACTTCACCCACGGTGATTGAATGTCCGAGGATGCCCGAGTACACTCTCCTTCAGCGTGTGTGTGTGTGTGTGTGTGCGTCTTTCGGCTGCGCCGCCATCGCCAGCACCCGCTCGCTCGCTCGCTCGCGCGCGCGCGCGCGCGCACACACACGCGTGTGAAAGTGCGTGAGCACAGTGTGGGTAATAGTCCTCGCCTTACGTTCTTCGTATCTCCTCCCGACCCATCGTGCCATGTTGTTTTCGTCGAGGGGGCAGACCTCGTGGATCTCGGCTCTCCGGCTACGTCATAAGCGTCTATTTATACTCCGACGTAGCGTGTAAACGTATACAGGGTGTCTCGCGCGACTCCTACTCGCGCGCGCGCGCGGTTGCCAGCAGCGAGGGTGCGCTACGTCACGATAGACATGGCGCGTGTTTGTGTGTGTGTGTGTGTTTAACAGGTTGAACGGCGCGTCGGCCTGAGCGGCACTGCGCTGCCTAGCGTGTCTCATTAAGTTACGTGGCAAGTATAATTAATCGCACCTGAAAAGTAGTCGCGGCCGTACGCACCGGGCGCACAAAGAGTCCGGTGTTTTCGCGGTGCTTTGTTATTGTATAATGGAGCCGAGTCACATAGTCAAGAGCAGCGCTTCCGCAGCTTCGAGCCCGATGGTAGTGACTTTACGCGCGAATATCGCGCTATTGCCTTCTTATCGTCGCACGAGAAGACACGCGGCTGGAGCCACGAATGGCTGCGCGTTCGCAGCCGTGGAGATCGGCCATTTCCCCGCGCTCAGTGCTGCCAACGGACGGCCGACGGGGTGAGCGGAGGAATCCCACGATACGTGCATCTCGGATGATGTTTGTTTGGCGGATCTTCGGCAATTCAGTCGTCGGTCGACACGGTCAACCGACGACACCGCTCGCTGCGATGTCGCCCCGTGTAATCAAGTTAATTGGGTTACGTATGGAGCATAATTAATCGCGTTTGCGAAATTGTTTACGCGGCCGGCGGAAAGCTGCAAGCAGGCGGGACGAAAGACGCGCGGTATCTCGAATTACACACGCGTCCATTTATCGCGTCGCCGGTATAATTCGATTATCAGGCAGCCTTTCGAACGGCCAACGAAGACCGACGTGTGTGTTGGCAACACTGACGCCGGCGGCCGGCGCGGAAACGCGACGAGAGAGCCCGCGTACTCTTTTCCGGATGCGTTCTTCTTCGCTCGGTCTTCAGGAAATCCATCTCTTCTCATCGTTCTTTTACCTTTTTCCTTCTCTGCTCGATTTTTCTACGGAACCATTATTTTCGACGGGGAATCGAGGATTTTGATCCGTCGATACGTTTATTAATCGATCGATTGTTTCGTTTCCCCCCTCTGTGGCACGTTTCTTCTACCTAACGGATCTCTCAGTGAGATCTTGCATTTTTCCACGTTTTCTTGGCTCGCTGATTACTGAAGAGTCTGACATCAGGTTTCAAAGATACAAAATGGCAGATCCAATATGGCTGCTATATAGGAATAAATCAGTGTAAGTCTGAACAAATGTAAATTAGATGCGCGATGTAACGGTTTTTCGAGTCATTAATTACGAATTTCATGTCAGATTTACAAAATTCGTTCGAGTAATTTGTGTGCAAAAAAGTCTAATGTGCGAAAAATTCTGGAAAAAATGTCGTATTTCGACACGTGAAGAATATTTAGTAAGGTTTCCAGCCCCCATTCTTAAATCTTAAAGTTTCCAAGAAATCGATACTTTTTTAAATCGCTTTCTCAACTTTGCTTACAAATAATAAAAAACGAACAATCGGATATAAAAACCATATCCTATTTATTTTCACCAAACTGTGAGCAGTACGTTAAAAAAAAAAATGTACTTATCGCACTGCCGCGCAAGAAGTTAACGAAGAAGAACTCGACCGTTCTCGAAGGGATCGATTCGCACAGAAATCGGGCGGGAGAGAGTCGATTTTGAAAGATCGCTGTTCCGCAGGTCGACTCGAGATCTCGCCCCTCGCTGAACCCACCTGACTCGCGAGTGGAACTCGCCCGCTGCTAAACTGCACTCGCAGGAGCAGAGCTCACGGCTGCGTGAAAGAAAGCGAAGTGACACCGGCGACACTTGACACCGGCGGCCGCGTCGACGGAGACGTCCCTCGTGTGAATTAGGTCGACCCGGCGACCGGATCTTCGCCGGGGAGAGCGGCTCTCTTGGCACGGTATTTCCGTTGTCACGCATCTCTTTGACAATGACGCGCTCGTCGCGACGGAATTATCAGACGCCACTCAGCGTGACGGAATTTCGCGCGTGTTGGCGATATACCGTGAAACGCGATACTGCGACATCGGATGACGGTAACTGAGGCGAGCGGCGGGGGGGGGAGGGGGAGCCGCCGAATGACGCCTAGAGAGGCGTTGGGCTAAATGTTGTTGTCAACGCAACGACGAAGCGCGGTCCTCATCATCATCGTCGACGTTTCTGAGTTTCTGAGATTATCCCCCTGAGTAACGCGAGAAAAATCCCAGTCACGTCGCTCTCATTGTTCGTTAAAGAGTTATTCGCTGAAGAAGAGTCTACTCACGCTGAAATGTGTCTCGATTTAATATTTAATTATTTAATTATTACTTCAGCCTGCAGAATGCTATTCAGCTACGTTAAGGTACGTGAAAATAGCGAGGAAAAATATAAACGAGGGAGGCTTCGCTCTGTTACATCAGAAAACTTAACTGACCTAACTCTGCGAGACGTGGTTGGGGTACGTGTGTGAAGTTGGCTCCGCACTTTTCGAATTTTGTATTTTTTTCGAATTGTGCCGCATTGTGCTATGCATTTGTGCCGTATTGCGCCGCAATCCGCAACTCTGTAACTCAAACTCGCACTCGAGAAAATTAAGAAGAACCAAATTTTTCGTAGCCCCGCACTTTTCGCATTTTGAGCTTTTCTTTATTGTGCCGCTTTATTGTGTTTATGTTTGTGCTGATTTGAGCCGCAAACGCGAGGCCGATAACTTCAATAACATTTGAGAAAAAAAATGAGAACGAAAATTTGCCAGCCCCCCCCCCCCACTTTTGTCCGAACGAGTCCAATGTTTGTTTGCGAATTCCTACTAATTTGTGCCGCGTTGTGCCGTTTGAAGAAACTGGATATCTCCTTTCGTTCGGTAGAGAAAAAATGTCAAAGTTAAAATACAAATTAACAAATAACTTTTTCTACGATGCATTTATCGCAAGTCTGTGAGTTGTGCTGAATCGAGTACAACAAAGAAACCACTTAGAGATGTATCGAGAGAACTACTCAGATTGCAAAAAATATTTGCAAAAATTGGTAACGCAAAAAAAGTTTTTCACATTTTCGAAACTTTGAAAGTTGTGCCGGGTTGTGCTGGTCAAGCCCAACAATTTTTCCCGATGGCAAAATTACGTCAGACCATCGTAGTCCGCAGTACAGCCAAAGAAAGCATCAACGATAAAAGTCGGAGACTGGCAAATTTTCGTTTTTATTTTTTCTTCTCAAATGTTATCGAAGTTATCGGGGCTCGCGTTTGCGGCACAAACACAGCACAATACGGCAGAATAATGACAAAAACTCAAAATTCTAAAAGTGCGGGGCTATGAAGAATTGAGTTTTCCTTAATTTTCTTGAGTACACTTTGAGTCGCAGAGTTGCGGATTGCGGCACAAAACGCAGCGGCACAATTCGAAAGAATACAAAATTCGAAAAGTACGGGGCCACCAACTTCATACACGTGGTTGGAGTTTGCTCAAGTTTCGAGGACGGGATGCAAGAGAGGAACGGAGCCACTTCCCCCTTTCCCTCTTACCCGCTTATACACATATCTTATCTTTATATACACATCGCCAATTATTATGCGCCTATATTACAAATATATCAAGTTAACTGTCACGTTCTTCAAACTTCCGCTTCGTTGATAATTACCCAATGAACGATGCGCGACGGCTGCGATCTTTCGAATATTCTTCAGACTGACTGACAATCTTAACGACATAATGGTCAAGCTAAAGGCCATATTTCATGGCTCCGTTAGCAAGCAATAGTTACCGTGTTTGGTATTTGCGACTATAATCGCTGAGGAATTACACAGTCGGCAGAGGCAACTCTGTAGCGAGCGTCGCTATACAGGGTGTTCCAGAGAAAGGACGCGAGGGACTTTAAGAGCGGAGTAGCACTCGCAGAGTGGACGGAAAAATCTCCTGACAAACACGAGCCGAAGAATTAATATTGCGGAGTTGCGGACGGATTATTGAATCTGAATTCGAAGCAAGCGACTTGCTCGCTCGACGAATCACATCAGAGAGCGCAAAAGTCGCTCTCGCTTCAATTGAAATAGACAATTCCTCGCAACTCCGACGACATTGGTCCCTCTCGACCCATCGAGCCCATATCGGGGCGACTCTTCTCCTCCCTTTTGTGAGTACCATCCAAAGTCCCGGACTCCTTCTTTCTGAACACCCCGTATAGCGGGGCAGCGATAATGGCCGTATCGCGCGTACATCGCGTACCGCGCGAGTGGGCTTTTTCGATTAGAATAACAAGAGGATGCGCCCGGGGCCGAAAATAAGCGTAGTTTCAGCAACGATAACCATTTTCTCGTCCTCCCAGCGTGTGAGGAACGACCGGACGAACCGAGTGCCCAGCGGAGGAGAGCGCGCCGTTTCCCGGTCGCCGGGGCAGCCCCTGAAACGGCGGACGGAATGAGACTAATCAGTAGCGCATTAAAGCGAGTCGCATTCGATTATTCGCGACGACGTGCGGCGCGAATTCCGCCGCCGCGCCGCGCCGCGCCGCGTCGCTGCAGGCTTGCAATCTGCGCGAATTACGATGCCACGGGGATTACAGGCGTGTGTGCTGGCGGTGACGGGGACGGGGACGGGAGGGACCAACTCGCAAGCTGGTGCGTGTGTGCGCGCACCGGTCACGAGAACGGGCGAAAGC